TTTGAATCATCATTTACACTGATTTATTTAATCCTAATTCCTACCTTAACCTTAGTGGTAGGGAGGGGTACTCACCAAGATCTTGGTCTGGGGGTGAGGTTCTGCTTCAGGATGTGGAGGCTATGTTTTTATGACTAAGCTCTCTCTCTCTCTTTCAGAATGACTTTTGTCCTTCCCATGTTTCAGTGACCTTGCAAGTAAATTTGCATTTGGCAGTTTGGATTTTTAAAACTTTTCTTAATAGTAAAACACTTGTACTGTTTACACTGGTGATTCATTAATGTTTGCTTCAGGATGGCACACCTATATCTACTTGCTAGAATTGGGCTAAATCCAAGGTGACTTTAATCTTCATAATTTGCAATCAATTAGGATTTACTTGTAATACCACTATAGAACATATGGTCCCTGCTTCCAGGCAAGAGAAATTAATCTCATAGACTGAAATAGAATGTGTGTGTGTGTGTGTGTGTGTGTGATGCACACAGGCGTAAACACACTTTGTTGTTCCTTGGCTGTCTTCTTTACTTGAGATGTTATTCATGTTGTTAGAACAGTTAGAACAGTTCTGACAGTGCCATCATTCACTGACAGTTATTAAAAACTGAGTTATTTCAACAGAATACAGTTTCAGTGAAGATAAAGAAACAGAGCATAGTGGGCCAGGTATAACATAGGTATCACACAAGGCTCCCAGAGCTGTTTTTAAAATTGATAAACCTCCAGATTACTAGGACTGCCATTTTTCTGGCTGGAAATAAAGAGGGTAATTCTCAGTTAAAAGTATCCAGGATCATCTTTTAAATACGTTGTAAGCCTGCTTTGCCCGCCTTTCTATAGTGATGGCATTGCATGCTCCTGTGAGGTAAGAGGCTATGCTGATGGCGCTATTGCTTCTGGTAGAATCAGACTGACTTTTGCTGAAGGAGCAGACTAAGTGTGTCACATCTCTGCTGGGAAGCAGCATTAGTGAAGGGTGAAACTGGTCGACAATCCCTCAGAGACAACAGCAGCAAAAAAGAAGAAGACGAAGAAGGAGAAGGAGAAGGAAAGGGAGAAGGAGAAGGAGAAGGAGAAGGAGAAGGAGAAGGAGAAGAACTTTATTTTTCTACCCCGCCTCCATCTCCCCGAGGGAACTCGAGGCGGCTTACATGGGGCCAAGCCCAAGGCAACATACAATTAAAAACAGAAATAACATATTAAAATAGCATAAAAACAGTGGACCCATAGTAACACTTGTTACTAATGCACAAAAAAAGAAGGCACAGTCACTCTCCTTTCAAAGATAATTTACCACAAAAATCCTATGATGAGGCCATCTAAAATGAAATAATAGAGCCAGAAGATTAAAATCTGTTCCACCTCAGAGTAGAATCACCTTGCTGAAGAACACCAAACTGCACACAGCCAAAAGTCTTTATGGTTTATTAAAAATAAAAGGTAAAAAGTTC